AATAGCAAACATTTAGTGTTTCCTATGCCTGCATTGCTTAAGGCTTGGGTTGACCTTTAAAAGGAAATTCTAAGAGATGACTAGCTGGACCTCTTTGGTTTTACAGCAAGAGCTGTACTTCACAGACCATGTGAAAGATCACATGCTGCTCAAAAAAAAAAAACTTATACTGTTCACCCAAAAGGGGAAAACAAACATTCTGAGCAGAGTTGGTGTGGCAGGAAGTCCCTGGCAAGTCTCCAACTCACATTTAGTACAAAGTGTTTGCTTATTAACAGAAGCAAAACCTTTTGCTTAGGACTACTCACTGATAAGAAGCTCGGGTTTTGGTTTGGAACTGAATATGCTTAGCAGGAGATGTTAGCCTCTGTCTGCATCAACTATCTTCAATCACAAGGTCCAGAGCTTGGACAAGTTCAATGGCCATAAACATTAAAGAATTCTGAGAGATAAAGTCCAACACAATGAGCTAGTCTTACCAAGTTGCTTTTTGCCTATATTTTTCCATACTGTCATAGGGTGGATGAAAATCAATGATTTTTTTTAAAAAAAATCAGTTTGAATCCCAATTTAATTTTTAAATGATTTTTCAAATTTAAATTGTCAAAAAATGATTTTAAAAAAATTTAAATCATGATTAAATCAAACCCACCCTGTCACAAGGTAATCTGAATTTACAGTAATTGAATGCACACTCACCTGGCAAGGTCACAGCTCACTACATCACAGAAAGCTTTCCAGACACACTGTAGCTCAGTGATAATAGCACTTGCTTTGCATCTACAACATCCCAGGCTTAATCCCTGGCATCTCAGGGTTGGGGTGGAGTCTGAAATCCTGTAGAAATGCTGCCATTCAATGCAAACAACTTTAAGCTAGGTATGATCTGAGCTAGTAGAAACAGTTTCATGGGGAAAGCCACTTTGAGTTACTTTCCCATGGCAAAGCATTTGTCTAAACCAGGACGGGAAACTCCAAACACATCAAAATTAATTAGCATAATTCATGGTGAATGATAATGAGAGTTGTTGTCTCAACATCTGGAAGGCCACAAGCTTCCCACCTTTGATCTAAACCATGGGCGGGCAAGGTGTGACACTCCAGATGTTGCTCTACTGCATTTTGCAGCACTAGTAGTTAACATAGCCAAAGTGAAGCACGCTGTGTGTTGCAGTTTAACAACATCTGGAGGGCTGCAATTTACCCACTACTGGGCTAAACTGCCCTGTAGTTTTATAATGCCTTGTCACTGGGAAAAATTATAGATACAAGGAAAATGGGAAGACTGAATATGAGATAACACTGATTCAATAAGTCACAGCCTTGAGCCTGCAAAATTATAAGACCTTTTGCAGGTCACTAGCTCATAAGGTCACCATTAGTGAGTAGCAATCTGTCAGCATGTAACAGTAACAACCAAACTTCAGAGCACTATTCCATAATAAACTCTCCCCAATATATGTGCTAAACTCTTTCTTCCACTTCCAGCTCCATCCACTTACTTCACAGTACGTAAATAGGACAAGGTGCATTTAAGAAAGAACAGCTTATTAAAAACATCCTTTTGCAAGGTTTCTGCAACAAGCTAGGCATCCAGCTAGAGATAAAATGATACTGGCTAACAATGCATCAGTGTGATGGCAGAGCATAGCCTATGTATGACTTTGCAAGTTCTACAGAGTTGGGCCTATGATCTCCAAGATGTTATAGCTGCTATAAAGGGTGTTTCAGTAAGATCTAAGATATCTAGACTCAGCCATCTACAGAATCTTCTATAAGTCTTTCTCCATATCTGCATGGCAGTTCACAGGAGTGGTAAACAATCCACAGCTAGGTCAGGAGAACCACACAGGAAGCTATTTCAACATCTGAAAATGGAATAATAGATTTGAATCCCATTTCAATTCAAAAAAACACAGGGGCATTATTTCCTTCCATGCTCAGCTATTTAGTGTGCATTTCTAATAAACTAATCCACAGATAGCCCCAGCACCAGCCCACAGCTGGGATGTAAAGTCAGTCTGGTTGTACATTAATAACAACTGTCATGTGTAAGTCAGGCTGCACAACTTGCTATCCATAAGCACAGCCCACCAGACACAAAAAGTTACAAGATTTGTAAAGCCACATAACCTATTACAGTCTGAGCTAGAATTTGGGCCAAGCAAAATGAGTGCATACGAAACAAAGCACCATGGGATTATAATGATTCTCTTCAACCACATAGACCAGTATAAAGTATGTCTTGTAGAGAGAAATCAAAAGGCAGGGGGAATTTTAAAAACCCTCTAACAATCTTCTAGGCTAGAAGAAGCACAGAAGCCTTTGCAAACAGAAATATCGTTACATTCCCTAGGATATCATGGGAGGTTTCTCCCTTTCCCATTCCCCAGTCATTCATTCAATCCACAGCTACAGGCTCAAGTGATCTTTTCATTCCTGCAGTTCAAGGAAGAGAGGCAGCAGAACAAACTGGAAAAGCAGGAACTCAACAGCTAACTAGGGAAATATGACACATGGGCAGAATTGCAAAATAATTATGAATTACTATTACAAGGATTACTATTACAAGGCCTGGTTGCTTTTTGAGGAGCTGGTGGTAGTACTCTAAACAGTATGAACATCAACCAGCCAGGGTTATGTTCCTTCTGGAAATACACATTCTTCATTTTACTCTTTAATTCTCTTCTCCCTACCCATTGCAAATATCGATTAGAGTCCAATAATGCCCTTTGGTGGAGGAAAAAATAAATAAAACCTTTCTTCAAACCCAGACACATCAGATTTGCAAGAAGGTAGGTGTGTGGCCCAAATGTGGCCAGTGAATCATTTTATCCCCAAGCGAATTCTTCCACTCAGATTCTAAAAAAATACTGTAACAGTCAGGAACAAATTGGCCCTGTGTGAGAAACATTGTGACGGTCATCATGCAGATAAAGAGGAGTTGCCTGTGTATTTATAATCTGCCTTTCTTCAATGGGAAATGCATGGCTTTCCCCCTCCTCAGTTTTTCCTAACAGCCTGGTGAGATAAACTGAGAGATTAAGATTGATTTAAGGTCATCTCTACTGAGCTGCAAGCTAAGTGGGAATTTGAATCCAGGTCTTCTGAGTCCAATTAATTCCTGCTAAGTGGGGATTTGAATCCAGGTCTTCTCAGTCCAATTAATTCCGACACCATGTTAGCTCTATAACTCTCACTGATGAGCAACATATTAACATGAAACCAGAGACTTAAAATAGAATGATGCTTCATGGCTTTTGTTTTGCAGGGGAGAGGAGTGGAGTCAAACTCATTTCACTGTGAAACTGGAGAAAAGAAGCAGCTTTACAACTTGCTGTTATCTGTACACCTCACAGAAGGCAAGTTCACATATATGTATCATTAAGTAACAGCCACCCTCCTTATGGTACCGCTGTGCTAAAATATAGCCATCAACCAAGACCAACAACAACTACAAACACCAACAGCTACTGCATTGCAAATATTGCTTTCCCATCTTTTCAACTTGTGACACAAGACTTCCAACGGCTGCACTGTGACCCACCAAACCAGTGGCCGTGCTGGCCGAATAGTTCCGGGAGCCTTCCAACAGTCTGGTTCAGCTCCACCACTTGTAAAGCCTTTGTTGACAGCAGAGGTTTTATGTTTATCCTGATCATATTGACAAAAGAGTCAGACATTCTAGTTGTAGAAAGAAGAACACATGTTTCTAAATACTATTAATATTTCAGCATGGCTCAAGTCTCCTAAAACAACATCAACAAGCTTGGAGAATCATCGCCTTCAATCCCTGAAGAATCCAGAATGGTACAGCTTATTATGATTCATGACTGTTCATACAACATGAGCCTACACGCACAACACAGACCACACAAAAACACTGTACAAGATTCTGCATCTTTAACATGGTGAGTCAATACAGTGGTGCCTCGCACAGCGAGGTTAATCCGTTCCGGATTAACCCTCGCTGTGTGAAAACATCGCTGTACGGATCAAAAAAAGCCATTGGAACGCATTAAACTTAGTTTAATGCGTTCCAATAGCAGCTTTACTCACCGTACAGCGATGTTTCTCCGATGGCTGGCAGCCATTTTCGCGCCCTCCCCTCGCTTAACGAGGGCGCGAAAACGCTGCGTGCAGCCATTTTGGGGCTTCCGGCAGCCATTTTGAAGCCGCCTAACAGCTGATCAGCGGGTCGCAAAGCGAAGTTCGGTAAGCAGAACGCTTACCGACCTTCGCTCTGCGATTTTGAGCCATTGGGGCCGTCGGTGTGCGATGGCATTTGCGATCGCTAGAACGGCCCCGTTGTGCGGATTCGTCGTTCTACGGTGCACTCGTTGTGCGAGGCACCACTGTATTTAGGTCTCTTCCACTACAATGTATTTTACCATGGAAGGGACTGTTACTACATGTGCTTTCAATTCAGGCTTTCATGGAATCTCCCTGTCATGTTCATAAAGGGATCCATATATAACATCTCCCACTTACGATCATCCGTGTTTTACCATTTCTTCTTCCATATTTTTAATATCTACCAAGAAAGGTGTTAAGGAAATGAAATACAGACTAGCTCACAATGCTTTTTAGTTAGCATTGTTAGAAGCCCATCTGAAATATGTCCAAGTGCTTTCTGTGCCCTCCCAAGGTTCTGTCCCGGTGTTACTTAACAATGTTACATGCCATGAAGTCGCCTCCGACTTATGGTCACCTTATAAATGAGTGATCGCCCAAATGTCCTGTCCTCAAGAGCCCTGCTCAGTTACTTAATAACAAAAGGTCAACCATCAATGTTTCTGCTGCTCTCTTTCTGGACTCTTTGCTTTTAAGCTACAGTTGATCTGAACATCCCTGTAAATAGAGGATGCCTTCAAATAGACGACTGCCCTCAGTCAAGGGTAGGACACATGGTTACTCTACTATCTAAACAGAACTGCGAACAAGTTTCGTATCTACAGGCCTTAGCTCAAGATCAGAGGGCAAATGAAAACTGAACTTACCTTTTTAAGAGGAACTGTACTTCTAAACCAGTTATAGTCTGGAGAGATTTTAATCTCTCCCATGATGGTAGGCGGCCCACGGTAAGGAAAACCTGTAACACAGGAAAAAAGGTTGAGATGAAGAACATACATTTAAAATAAATTCAAAAAAGCCCTTGTTTATTAAAAAAAACCCAGAGGGCTAGGTTTCTTAGTCTGTTGCAACAAAAAACCACAGAGGTTTGTAGTTCTTCAAAGACTGTTGCACACTTCAATATGCCAAGTGAGCTAGTCTATGAAAGCACAGTCCAATGCAAAATTGTTAGTCTTCAAGCTGCCACCAGATGCTTTGTGTATTCAAGGGATTTTTTTCAAGGTAAACTGGCTTTCAACTCCCATCAGTTGAATATTCTTCCTTCCAAACTGCACCCAGTTCTAAATCAATTCTAAGCCATGCCCAGAAATGAATCTGGGGGAAGAGATTAAAAAGTGGAAGTTTAAAACTGAAATTAATTTAAAGCATAATGTCTAAAATACTAGGAGGTCAACTATGCCTGCCAAGACTGGTAACAAAGTAAATTTATGGTGTGATTTCATATTACAGCCTGGCAAAGTGTGACAATAACCAAAACAGTACAGCAGAAACGTTTGCATAAAACCAACAATACATAGGCTACCTACTGTTATCTGTGATTGTTTCTTGTACAGGTCCAGATGAACTAAGCTATGTATGGAATCGGATAGTGATGCAGACTCAAAACACTATAGTAGGGACACAAAGAGAGCGGAGGGTTGCACAAGCATATTTGAAACTGTCCAAGCAATCTTTCAACAGTCTCCAGCTTTTGTGAAAAGTTGCTTCCAAGTAAGTGCTACTCTTATGGATGTTGACCACATGCCTTCTTTTCAAGCTATCTTTTGCTAAAAATAACTCTCTGAATTCTGCAAACATTCAACTACGAGCCCAAAATGTGAACCAAACAATATTTTGCAAATAACCAGAAGTTATATTGCCTGTGACACAAGTCATGGGCCAGGGCATGGACTCACCTCCCTCTATTACCATCTCTACACAAGAATTGGAGGTTGATCATGACTTTGCGTACTTTGGCTCAACGCTCTCTGACACTCTCTCCCTAGATGTCGAGCTAGATAAATGCATTGGCAAGGCAGCTACCATGTTCTCTAGACTCACAAAGAGAGTATGGCTCAATAAGCTGATGGCATATACCAAGATCCAGGTCTATAGAGCCTATGTCCTGAGTACACTCCTGTACTGCAGTGAGTCCTAGACCCTTTGTGCACAGCAGGAGAGGAAGCTGAGCACATTGCATACGCATTGTCTCCGACGCATTTTTGGTATCACCTGGCAGGACAAAGTTCCAAATAGAGTAGTCCTAGAACGAGAAGGAATTTTTAGCTTGTATACATTACTGAAACAGAGATGGCTACGTTGTCTCTGGCATGTCTTGAGAATGGCTGACAGTCGGATTCCAAAAGATCTCCTGTATGGAGAATTAGTGCAGGGAAATCGCCCCAGAGGGAGACCACATCTGCAATACAAGGAGATCTTCAAGCAGGATCTGATGGCCTTAGGAATGGACCTCAACAGATGGGAAACTTTGACATCTGAGTGTTCAACCTGGAGGCAGGAGGCCTCTCCCAATTTGAAAAGACACTTGTTCAGCAGGCTGAGGCAAAGACACAGTCCCAAACCCAGCAAAATCAGGGAGCTGGACAGATTGTATTTGACTTCAGTGTAGAAGGATTGTCACTCTCGAATTGGCCTTCTAGGCCACACTAGACACTGTTCCAAGTACTCTATTATTTTAGAGCATGTTACCATACTCTCTCGAGACTGAAAGATGCCTACTACACTGCCTGCATCATTTTTAGTGAAATGCTACTTTATTTCTAATTTGGCATTTAGAGTCTGGCTTTCATAATTCACTGGCAATTCAGTTCTAAGTTTAAGATCCGCTGCTGGCAAGTAAACTCCCTTCTGAGATACTTTGGAATCTCATTTGGTTAAGGAGCTGGCAGATAAAATTTAAAAGGCAGGATAAAACAAGGCAATGCATGATGTTTATGTACCACCCCATACTGTTTAAAACACTCTCTGGGCAATTCATACTTTAATTGTCCAGGCTACAAATTTCCCCCTCCTCCTGCTCCAGCAAGTTGTGTACTCAGTTTACTGACCTCAGAAGAATGGAAGGATGAGTCAACCTTAAGCTGGCTACCTGAATCCATCAGGAATTAACTCAGTTCATGAGCAGAGGTCTTTGCTGCAGTACTGCAGTTTAATCACCGTACCACAGATAACACCTGATATTCTTCATATACTGAACTGATCTGCATAACCAATTTAGATACAGAGAACTTTATGGATATTGAACCTTCGTATTCAAGCAAAAATATAAACAAAGCTCAATATATATATTATATTGAAGCTGAGGTAGATGCTCAGATCATACTTAGGGCACAACAATATAAAACTCCTCAAAAAGAGGAAGTATCTATTTACATAATCTAAGGAAAGTTGTCTAAAAGGAAAGGTTTATTTTCTCTGAAGTAAAAAGAGTTGGTGCTATTTATAACTACAGTACCACAATTTTCCTTTGAGCTATGTCTGAATACTACTGAGAGAAATATCAAGTTCTAGGGATGTTTGCGGTACAGACAGTAGCTGTTTTGCTTTCAACATTTTTTATTGGCATCCCCGAAAGAATTAGTTTATTTGTCTTAACTCTTCCCACCTCCAGTTTCGCTCTAGGAAACTGGAGACTTGTAGAGGAGACAAAACAGGCACAGTAACAAAACACACCATTCTATAGAACTGGAAGTCCCCCACTGCACCTCATCTTGAACAGGACAGCAGACTTCATGAAAGAAAAAAAGCATACAACAGGACAAAAAAATATTTACATATAGGCCTTACTTAGTGATTAACCTCAACAGAGAGAAAGCTGCCTTAGAAGTTTGTTATTTTTTATCTTTCAAAACTTAATGACTGAAATTTTGTTTTAATATATGTTGAAATATAAATGTTATAAATAAATATTATTGTTGTTATTACTAGTCTAATAAATTATACTAGAGTAAAATATATGTTGAAATATAAATGTTATAAATATTGTTATTACTAGTCTAGTAAATTACACTAGAGTAAACCCATTGAATCAATGAGGATTTGGTGAGTCAACTCCTCTAATCAATTCACATAGTCTTACTCTAGTTGCCAATTTCTTTAGTGCAATAAGTCTCAACTATCATGCCCATTTGAATCAGTGGAATTTATGGAGGGGTTAACTCAACAAATCTTCATTGATTCAATGCGCCTACTCTAGTACCACTTAGTACATTAAGCAAAAGGATTTCAGCCACTAAAATTCATTTTTTAACCAAAAAAAGGCATTATGACAGACAATTTAAGAACCAAGTCAAAGCCACTTGGGAAATTAACCAAATCTCCATTAACACCACCAGGAAGATCCCCACCATCATGGTGAATAGCACTAGGTCTAGTAATGTTGAACTGGCCAACATTAACAGAAAAATCATGTGAAGTATGTAATATAATGAAAACATTGTCTTTTCAGAGCCCCCCCCATCCCTTCAGTCCCTGTTTTCATCTTTTGCTGATACCTATGTATGAAGTGAAGCACAGTCAGCTGTTCTGTCTGGTGGTGAAATATGCAGACATTCATTCTTAAAACTCTGGACTGTGTCAGGCCTTATTATAAAGAGACATCGCCAGTTTCCACTATTAACTTGTTAGACTCTGTCATTCCAACTTTCTGTGTACAAACTCATAATCTCAAACTACTGCAAACTCAAAAGCAATGCCGTTTTTTTATTTTGGTCAAGAGTAGAAACCCAAAGATGTTACATTCATGCGATGGCTGAAATATCAATATAGGCCATAACTTTCCACACCTCCAATCTACTTTCTTTCCATTGCTTTATCTTTTTCATATTCAGGGTAATACACATAATTATAGCCCTGGAGGCTCTAAAACCATTTTCCAGGTTCACAGCGCTAAATAAGATGTGTCCGTCCACCAGCAGCCACTCCTGCACACTGCAGAAGAAGATAACAGAAACCAGGGCCCTTCCAACACACTTGATTAAAATATTACTTCTCTCTTTCTCCCTGTGCATTTCTCCTTTTGTTTTGTGTCTTAAGCCTTTGGGTAGAAACTATGTAACTGACGGTACACCAGCCACTCTGGACAACCTTGGGGGCAATGGAACACAAAATAATATGACTGAATTAATATTCACCCCAGCTCACTATCCAGGGAACATGCACAAACACGGCAGCTCTCCTGGATGGTTGAGCAAACACAACCATCATCCCTAGTAGTAAACATTCTCACACTGGCAATTTTCTCTCATTGCTCTAAGGCATCATATGAGTCTGTGGACAAAATCAAAGACAACGCATCCTAAGAAACAACCCAGACTTTCTTATCAACAACCAGGGGACTGAGAAAAACATGAAAAATGGCAGCACATAGCCACATTTTCCAAGTATACAGTATCTTTGTGATAGATCTTATACGCAAGCCAACCTTAGTGAAAGGATCTTCATTGCATTATAGTTTTAGCTGAACATTTGTGTAAATGTAAGAAGCCAGCATGCCCCAACCTGACATCCTCCAAGTGCCAATACTCATGCAGACTGGAAACGATGGCTGTTGTACTTCAACACATCTGGAGGGAACAAGCCGAGCTGGAAATGGGTGTAACAAAACTTCCCGTTTCACATCACATTGATCAAGAACCAAAGTTACAAATCTTTTTCAGTTTCCCAAAATCCCCTGAATCTAATTTTGCCATCTTCTCCAAAACCCAGAATTCACATCACAGCAGACTCTTTGGAATCCAAGCAATACAGCTCCAGCTTTCCATTCTTACTAGACTGTCAATCAAGTAAGGCTGAAGTAAAACCAAGCCTAGTGACAACTTTAAGACTAACAAGTTTTATTTGGCTAAATGTTCATCTACTGCAGGAAAAACAGCTTGTTGACATTTGAGGCGTCATAAAACTTTGTAGATTCTGCTGCAATAAAACACAGCTATCCTTTCTGGAAAAGACATGGTTCTAAATGAATACAACTAGAAATAAGATCCCTTTGAACTCACCAATGCTTACTGCTGAGTATACCTGTACAGACTCACATTTCACTCAAGCAGTCTACTTAAGACCTTTAAAAAGGTTCTGGACTGATTAGGTGGCAAAATGCATCTTTACCTTATTTCAAACATAAATATAAAAACTACACATGGTAGGCAGCACAACCAAAGAGGTGTTCACCCTCATGCAGGAGAGAATACCTCTTCTAAATATGGTACCTGTTGTAATGCTTGTGTTCATCATATAAAAAACAGAGTATTAGTTAGTTTGAGTATTGCAAGGTAAAGATTCTAGATCACATTGAACCATGAAATTCACTGGGTGACATTGAGCAAATCACTCTCTATTTGAGGCATATAGGGTTGACAAAAGGCTAAAGCCAGGAAGAAAAGGGTCATGCAAATGAGTTCAATGCAGGAAATCTACAGTATCAGTGTACCTACTAAATAATCAAACATAAATAACCATTATTTCTTTAATCAAGCAACAACCCTTTTACATCCTTTTATGACGCAAGTGAACTTTTATTACCCTAAACAACACCCATGGCTTTCATACAAAGAGAGTTCTTCCTCATATAACTTATAGTCTACAATTTCGAAAGACCGGAAATAGAACAGAGAAAAGAAAGGAGGGAAAAATTAAGAATAAGTATGTGAAAAAGCAGGCATGAATAGTCCAGCTTAATTTCAGCAGGGGAAGAGGACTAAAAAGTTAAGTCAAAGGCTCTGTGGAGGAGTTACAATTGTATTTTTTTTAATTATACGAAAGAACATATTATTTTGCCTTCTGAAATCCTTACTAAGATTATGAACAATCTACCTCCAATTGGGGGGAGTCCCAGACAGTCCAGTGAAACATTTTTCTCTAAAAATGTGTAAGACTTGTTTACACTCACTAAGGCACAATACACCAAGTCTCCTACACATTTAATATCTAGAGGGACATCAACGACATGAGTCACCAATGAACCAAACTTTCAACCCAAATCGTGCCTTGTTTTTCACTGTGGAAGATGAAGTGCACACACCTGTCTCCCCCGTTATAGCCCATTTCTTTGGGTGAAGCCACACCTTTCTCACGAGCTTAGCTGCCTTCCAACCTCCTAGTCCCCCTATCCCCATATAACCTTCACACCCACACCTTGGACCCCACGCAAAGTTCTCCGGGGGGGGGGATTGTATGATTAACATTGCTGAGCACTTCCTTTCCTCCCAGAAGTTCAAAGCAGAGCACCCACCAATCCTCTTTCGGCTTTTTTCCTCCCTATACAACAACCTGACAAGGTAGGCCAGGCGGAGAGGGCCCATAAGTAGAATCCCCTCCCCCCCCACCTCAGGACTTTTATGACTTGGTAGGGTTTTCGGAAGCTCCTTTGCCCACTTCACAGCCCTCCACAGCAATTCCTCCGTGAACGACGGTGACAAAGCTTTTAACAATAGCAAGTAACGAGGACAACAATAACGGTCCTGTCAGCCCCTTCACTTTCGAGCTCCTGAGCCGCCACTACCCCTTATGCGGGGAGGGGGGCGTCCCAAAACCCACCTTTCTAGGGTCCTGCACCCCCACACACACAAAGACCCTTCCTCATTAAGGGAGGACAACACGCTTTCC